TCACAAGGACTGTTAGGATTATCTCAAGAGCTTACATTGATTAAGGTTATTAGAGAGATTCAGAATGGAAAGATGCTCGCAGGAATAGTTCAATTCAGAAAGGAAGATAGGTTCAACGAAATGCAATGTCCTAAAAATGATTTGGAACATAAAGAGATGAGTCTATTCCATATGCGTAGGTGGTTTGGGAGCTTAATGTATGTTCAGACATGTACTCGACCGGATATTAGTTTCGCGTACGGAAATGTTAGGCCGATATCAAAGTAATGCCTGGATGGACGCATTGAAAGCTGCAAGAAAGTACTTAGGTATTTACAAGGCACTAAGGATCATATACTCCTTATAGAAAGTCCGCCATCCTAGAACTGGTGGATAACTCGATTCAGACTATGCCGGTTGTGTAAGATTCGAGAAAGGTCTACCATTGGCTACTTCGTTTCTTCTAAGCCGGAGGAGCAGTATCTATGGAAAAAAGTGGAAAGCAGTCTGTCCTTGCTACTTCACTATGGAGCTGAATTTGTGGCATGCTTTGAGGCACTGTCATGCATTGTGTTGGGAACTTTGTCTCAGGTCTACAGGCAATTGTCGACAGTATAATTAGACGCGTTTGAGAATTTACTGTGAATAATTTCGCAGCTGTCTTCTTCTCTAAGAATGATAGGTACTCTAAGGGTGCAAAGCACTAATGGATTTAAAGTAACCTATCTGTGAAGAGAAAGTGCCAAAAACATAAAGTGTCAATTGAGCATATTGGTACTGATCTTGATGATAGCGATCGCTAACTCAAAGGATTACCCGCCCAAAATATTCACTGGCCATGGTTTGATCAGATTGGGCATTATAAGATAAGTCCCTGTTAGATGATGTCATGATGTTTAAACTTGTATATATATATACATATGGTTGTTTTCCTCATATTATTGTGACACTTGGGAATTCAATTAAAGATGTGTTTTTGCTTATTTATGTGTTGTCTACATTATAGATGTATACAATAATAGTTTGAGTGAGATAACAATAACATTTGATTGTAATAATGTATTGTTTGTTGAATAATTTCTTCATTAAAGTTTTATAAATTGAAGTGGTCTGTGATATATGGAAGGAATCATGTTGATTAATGACTTGTGATCGCCATAATCTGATCATCTTAATTCCAATTAAGGTAAACATGATAGATTCAAGAAATGCACATGGGCCAACTGGGAGATTGTTAGATTATTTAATAATCTATATATGGCTCATATGATTAAAGGGCTGGTTCTAATTAAGGTGTCAAGAAAATGGTTATTGGGCTTAATGGATAAGAGCCAGTTATGGTTTTAATACCCTTCCTCTGCCTTATAAAAGTAAAAGGAATCGACAGCTTAGGGCGAACACAGAAAAGAAAAGAAACAAGAGAGTGTGACGGCTCCTCAAACACATACGGAATAGTTTGGTTTGAAGAGCTCATAAAAGAAACTCCCGCAGCTTGTTGTTATTCTCTTGACCATTAAGAAAGCACTTACGGACAAAAGGCAAAAGTGAAGAACGTAGATCTGCCTGTACGTGAGAATCGAATTGTTCCCAACGAGGTTAAAACCATAACATGTTATGGATCAAGGTACGCTTGCGATTATTGTATATTCTTGTCAAACAAATTCTATGAACAATAGATTTGGGCTATATTAAAGTTTATTCAACAGATAAAGCCTAGCTTCTTGACTAGCTAATCCAATCGTCTTCCAATGCAGCAGATCCTAGATTCGGCAAAAAAAGAGAGTGAAACAAAGGCTCCGTTTGTTTTCGTAAAATAACTTACAGAAAAATATTTTCACAATTTTTCGTTTTTTTGAGGCGTTCAGAAAAATATGTCAACAGAAAATATTTTTCTGGTCAAAGGAAAATTAAGTCATTTTTTAAAGAAAACAACTTTCCATTTTCGAGAGAGAGAAACGTTTTTCGGATATTGGCAAACCTTATAAATCCACATTTTTAATTAATTAATCATAATAGTCATTATCACCGGTCACTATTTACTACCGACTACCACCACCACGGGCCACTAGTGGCTTTCATAATTTACAATTTTTTTTGCATTCTTTTCATATTTAAGAATAAAATTTTTAAATTATAAAATTTCTATTATTATTAATATTTTTTATGGTCTTATGAGATATTAATATTTTTTATGGTCTTATGAGATAAAAGACTTTAATATTTTTAACTAATTTTCAATATTATAACTAAAGAAAATAAATTATTTGGAAAATATTTTTCAAGGAAAATGTTTTCCATGAAAATATTTTTAGGCAAGTTATTTTCCTACAAGTTATGGAAACAAACGGAGCCAAAAGCACACAATTATTGGTTTTTGATAAGCTGACTAGTGGAAATGCAGTTATAGTGAAACTGGGGCACATAAAGAACCTTCTTAAGAACAAAATGAGAAGAAAATGATACTGCGCCAATATGTGAAATAGGAATAAAGTCATTATTAGTTAGCTTAACAAAGTAATTTGAAACTGGTGTAGGATTGGTTAAAAAATCAAAACAAGTAATATGATCCGAAGCACATGTATCAAGAATCCTAGCTGATTTATCTTGAACAAAAGAAGCTGATTTATCTTGAACAAAAGGTTGAGGAAAAGACAGAGACATAGCAGAAGCTATGTAAGCATCCTTGGTGAAACATATTGAGTAATTGCTGGTATTGCTCCTTGGTGAATAAGACTGGTTCTGCTGAAATATTGGTGGACTCCACAAGAGACGTCCCTAAGTGCTTATTATCAGACTTAGAAAGAACAACTTTAGTATTAACATTGTTAACAGTAGAATGAACAGACTAAGAAGTGCTTTGATAACCAGGAGGATAACCATATTTCTTATAGCATCTGCCTTCAACATGCCTAAGAAGACCATAATAGGAACAAATTGGCTTTGTAAGATTTCCTCTACCATTACTTTATCCCCCTCTAGCAAATCCATGAGAAACACCTCTGCCAAAATATCCTCTACCAGAAGAAAGGAAACCATTACCTCTACCTTGATTAAAACCAGTAATAAACTGATTCGGAGAAGACCTAGCAGCACAAGCTACTGCTTCAGAACTCACATTAAAGTCCACAGGTTCTAAGTGGCTTTCTTATTGAACGACTAAACCAAACACTCTCTTAATGGACGGCATAGGCCCCATCAACATAATTTCAGACTCAACAGTAGAGAATTTGTCATTCAAGTCAGTCAAAAACCAAATTACATAATCTGACTCTTGATATCGTCTCACAGTATCCAAAACACCACATGCACAACCAGGACTACAAGAACAAACAGGAATAGAGAGAAAGTTCACAAAATCATCCCAAAGCACCTTCAATTTCGTGAAATAATCTGTGACAGAAAGATCTCCCTGTTGAACAGAATAGATTTCCTTTTGTAGATCTTAGATTCGAAGGGAATCTCCTTGATTAAATCTATCTCTAAGATCGTTCCAAACATCAACAGCATTGTCAAGCCATAAAACGCTTTGAGCAATAGAATTGGACACAGAACGTACTAGCTATGAAAGTACCATATTATTGCATCGCTGCCAAGCAGGAAAGATAGGATCCATCGAATTAGGAACATGAATAGATCCATCGACAAAAGAAAGCTTGTTTTTCTATAATAACACCATCTTCATTGCTTGTTTCCGAAAGTGACATTCGATCCGGTTAAAACTGGAGATACCAGCACCAAAGAATAATTTTTTTTGGGATGAAGATAAAATGGAATGCTAGGGTATTCCACATGGCGTGGATTTTGATTCGTCATTATCAATTATCAAAGAATAACCAGAGAAAGGTTGTTTGGTAAGTGAGAAAATGAAAGGAAAGCTCTAATCGAGAAGGAAAATTTCAGAAAAGCTCTGATACCATAACAAGAGTTATGAGGAAAAGATTAAAAATGACTTTCTCGATTAGATTCACAGTTAGAGGTTTTAGGCTCTTTTATATATTTACAAAAAAAATTGCTACAGCTAATTAGCTCTAACAAACTGTCAAGCCATAGTTAAAACTAACTATTGAAAAATAAGTTAACTATAGTGAATATGATCTTCATTTGAGTAAAATACTATGTGGCAGAGAGCTTACCTCGTTTGAATGCATAAATTTCCTCTTGAAGGTCTAAATCCTGATGATATGATTTGTCCTTTGGAAAAACGATCCTTCAGATCATTCCATACATGTATCAATCCATAATACACTTTGAGCTATCGAATCTGGTGATCTATGAAAGTACCATTATATTGCATCTCTCTCAAGTTGAACACATCGGATCGTTTCTCATAGGAACAGTGACTGATCCATCTACAAAGGCAAGCTTGTCCTTAGATCCTAGAGCCATTTTCATTGCTCTAGCCCAAGAATGGTAATTAGATCCACTGAGAACAGGTGTAACGAGAATCAAGGCTGGATTCTCATTTGGACGAAGAAAGAAATGATTAGAAGGATTGTGTAAATGATCTGCCATTGGACAGAATCGAGCTCAAACTCAATTGCAAATGAAGAAGAAAGGAAAGAAGAAAAAGAAATTGTAATCGAAATTTCTAGAAGAAAAGGACAGCGTGAGGTTGCTCTGATACCATGAAACAGCTTGCCGTTTTGGGAAAAATGAATGAAACAACTTGCTTTTCTGGGGAAAAATGAACTTCTCACTTGTATTGATCATGAAGCTTCATTTTATACAATTATATATTGGCGGGAAAAGAAAACAAACTCGCAGCTAATCTAAACTAAGTGTACAGCTATCTATAACAAACTAACAAACTATAACAACCTAAAAAACTATAAATTACGTCATGTAATTTGTTATAACTTGGTTATTTCTTTCCAGTTTTCTTAAGTAGCAGCTATAATAGCTTGAGATTTAATCTCTTCTGTGGTTTGACCTTCTGTCTTACTTGGCTTAATATCAGTTATGTTCAATATAAATACTTCGATAAATTAGCTTTGAGACGAATGATTCGACGCTCTTTAATAAACTCATCAAATTTGTCTTTTGTTTGGTTTATGTAATTCAGTTCTTGGAAGTATTGAACTCTTTTAAATGAGGAAACAGAGAATAATCCTCCATCTAAAACCCAGAGTGTCAATATACATGAATTGTACAAGAAACAAGTATTTTTGCTTCCCTCACTTGCATATCAAAGGCCTGTCTTAACAAAGATAGGATTGAAGTATAGCAAAAATAGACAGACAATCCCAGTTAGTTAGATCAATTCCAGCTTCTGTTCTGCTACTTAATTTTTAGTTATTCTTGTAGCTGGAGAGGATTTTCTTTGAAGCTTATCCATCAGCAGATGTGCAACTGATTTGTATCCCATTTCTCTAGCTTCAAACATAAATCACAATAAAAGAAAATTAATATAATATATTCTCAATTATAGAAATCATTTACAGGTAGAAAGGCGAACCTTTGTATATTGCAAGCCCAGTTGGAGCCATCTTTCGCTTCTTTAAGCACAATGAACTGTCAATCCGCAAGACAATTAAACATTAAAAGAGAGAAAAGATATATTACAAAATTTATCATATCAAACTTTATAAAGAGATGATAAATTTTTTGAGTAAAAATAAATAAGAAATTGCTTCTGTTCATAAGAAATGTTAAAACCCTGCTTTGGCTATTACATTTTGAGCAGATAATGGAGAAATGGCAGCCCCAATTCCAAAGCTTTGTCAAAAATCCAGGAAAAATCATTTATTGTATACCAGAAAATAAAGCTTAAATTAGAAGTGGAAGAAAATGTGTATTCACATACCTATTACATATCCAAAAAGGGTTTATTCCTTTTTCTTCTATGCAATGAGGGCACACCCATTTCTTGTTCTCTCTTACCTCCTCCATTTCTAACAAAACATCACAATTAAAGATCTTCACATAATTAAACCTTCTTTCCGTGAAAGATACAAATTCTGCAAGACCTTCTTTGTTTTCTTTCATTTCATTGTCTACTAAGGGCTTACCTTCACCATATCTAACTTTGAGACAGCCACGGCAGAAAACACCATTTGAAGAATGGCATATTGAACAGTCTGTTTTTCCTGGTTGGAGAAAAGAAATAAAAATAAATTAAACATATAATAACTAACCATTCACATATTTCAAGGGGTCATTTCATTTGAAGCTAACCTATGCATGGCTGATCTGGATCAAGATTACCACAACGCTTGCAATCTTCTTCCCCACACAATTTCTTTTGCCTGCATTCATCATCATCACCATACCATCCTCAGTGATTGCGGCTTAAATGCATACATAATCTATACAAATAAACTTAGACACAAAGGGAATCAGGCCCTTATAACCTGAGGCCAGAACTCGACTATCAGGGTACTAGCTCAATGTCCCCATTGCATAACAATTTTTAGTTCAATACTGATAAATATTTTTTCAGACCCCAAAATCTTCCATTTTTAATTGTTATATATAAATTTCTTATTTTATCTATCACTATCACTATGTTTTATCATAATTCCTAGACTTTAAACATAATCCAAAATTCAAGAATCAAGTGATTAGGCATGATATTTCATATGCATAATCCCAACAAATCAATTAGTTAAGCTAAATTGACTAAAGAAATTGAAAAGAGGAATGTTAGTTCTAATAAGGAAATGAAACAAAACCTGCAGAAATGGCAGCAAATCCCAAAAACAGGGTCATAGATAGAGCCCCTGCCCTTACTGTTGCAACGCCTAGCAGAAGCCTCAGGAGAAAGACAAAGAACCTCCGCACCCTTCACCAATGGAGCATTTGCAGGCCTATTCTCTTCCTCTAATACACAAACACGCATTAGTTACAGAAGTACCCTATTTTCTCTAAAACAAACAGGGATACAGTCAAAATACCTTCGATCAACGAAATGGGTTCGGTAGAATTTGTTCTTAATAGTCTATTAGATCGCCGCAAACGATGAACATTATTGGATGTTGATGATTGAACCGTGGTGCTGATATCTTTCAATCGATTAGAGCGACGCAAATTTGTGGTATCGTAAACTCTTTTCGTCCACTTCTTCCTTTGGGTCTTTGATTTCTCTGCTCTAACTGAGGAAGTGAGTGATCGAAGATCAGATATGGTCTTTTCTAGTCCAAGAGACGCCAATCGAGCCTGTAAGTAAAACAACTGATTTTCAATTGCAAAATAACATTATTTTTCTTGAATAAATAACAGAAACCAAGAAAGAAAGAAACCTTATTCTCTAAGATGCGAGCATTCCTGATATTTTCATATTCAATTCTGTTTTTAAGCCTTCCCATTTGAGCTTCTGCTTTAAGCTTTCAGGGAAAATAGAGAGAGATCTGAGGTTTGTTAATGCCCCAAGGGTTTTAGTTTATGGTTTTTGGTGAGTTTGAAGCACTAACCTTGATCAAAGTGCACTTTTAAGAAGACGGTTATGCTTAAAGAAATAGACAGTATGGTTACATTTGGTTTTCTGTGCTAACGGTCATGAATTAAAGATTTGAATTTGAAAAACCCATAAAAATAAAGCGTCCAAACTACTTAATTATAAGAAAATTAGAACAAAGCAGCAGAGAGTATGCTTAGTGTAAATTATTACTTCCTCCTTTCTATAATATTTGTCGCATTTAACAAAATATTTTATTCTAAAATACTTATCACTTTTATAATTTCAAAAAGTAATAAATTTTTTTTTAATTTTTACTATTTATATATGATCAATAATTATTATTTCAATTTAAATATTATTTTTAGAAAATTAATATTAAATTAAGGGTAATATAGTGAATTTCTTCAATAATTTATTGTAACTTAGACAAATTTGATGATTTTCTTAAAAAACGTAAAATTTCAAATGTAACAGGAATTATTGAACAGAAATGGTAGAATCTTAAGTGAATATAAATCATTATATACTTAAAAGAAAATAAATAATTTAGCAACAGTAGATAAAATTATTTTTTATTTATATAAAAATTAATGGAGCCTTTTTTTTCTAAGAGTAAAAAGTCAGTTTTTCTATTTTCAAACAAATAGTTTTGTCATCCTTAAATTACTATTTTATTATATAAATAGGTCCTTTCATCCATTTTTAATTAAAATCAATATTAAATTTTAAATAAAAGTACAAAGTGAGGGGAGAGAACATAGTTAAATCTCCAAACTATCATTAATACGAGCAACTAGCATAAAAAGAGGTAAATTTCCTTGCTCATCTGAAAATATAAGAGTCAATTGAATCATCTTCAACATATCAAATTGCTTAAACTTAGTTCTCTGATCAGCTTAATTCAATTCCTCTAAACTTTACCAAAATCTATTATCAAACCAGATGATATCACCCAAATTTAAAATCAAAATTTCAAAACTTTCAGCTATAGCAAAATGTGATGGTGACCGCATCCACAATGAATTCTATCTACCACATCAACCCTTCTTATGTTCCTCTCTCTCCATTGATGAAGTGGGAAAGGAGATCGTAGCTGGCAACAATCAAAAGAGGGAGGAAAATGAGAGGATGACTTTGGATGACTTAAAGGTTGGTGTTGTCATTACAGGTAGCTTGGAGGTTTACTCTTTTTAACGATAATTTTGATTTAAAATAGATAGAACGACGTATTTATAGGACAACTTAATACTAGAAAAAGATAAGTTTTAATTTGACTATAATTTACCGAGTGCAAAAGTTTTTTTTTTAACTACATTAAGGCTTTTGCACAAAATGTGACATCTTTTTTTTTTTTTTTTTTTTGTATTTATAGGACAACTTAAACTAGAAAAAGATAAAAGTTTTAATTTGACTATAAATTTACCGAGTGCAAAAGTTTTTTTAACTACATAAGGCTTTGCAGCAAAATGATGACATCAAAAAAAAAATCCTTTTTGTTTTTTTTTTTTTTTTTTTTTTTTTTTTTTTTTCTGAAGTGTAAAAAATAATAATAAATCAATACGTGTAAATTTTTTATTATTTTAATTAATTGTTAACATAAATTGAGAACTAATAATTGATAATAATCGACAGGATAAAAGAAAAAAACTCTGCAAATCTTTCAAAATATGTTATTTTATACTGGTTCAGATTTTATTTTTTATTTTTTATAACAATTCAAAATTCAAAATTCATTTATTTTTATTTTTTAAAATATTTTTGACATTATAATTTTAGAAGACAAGGAGGATGGATAATTTTGTCATAAAATTTTGAGTTGTTTAATAAATGAATATATTTGAAAATTCTACCTATTTTAGTAAATTTTGATTTAATTATGTTCAAATCCATACAATTAATTATAGTATTTAAATCTTCAATTTTTTTTTTTAATTTCAAACATAAATTTTTAGATTTATAAATAATTTTCTATAAAATTTTTGAGAATTCATTTATTCCAAACAAGGGGTAAACATGTGATTCATAAAGTTTGGTATTATAAATGAAATTGATAAAGATTGGAAATTAAATGGAGTCAATAATTGAAAAGGCTTGAAATTGAGTTGTGTAGAATTTGTCTGATGATTTGGTTAATTTTTAGATTTCTTTGCATATATAGTTTTGCCAAGATAAGATGAAGAGAAAGGGAAGTTTCTTTTGATTTTGCCATCTCTAATCCATCATACATCCACGGAAAGAGATGACTGAACATCTTTTTTCCTCAAACAGACGGGCTTGTTCAGCAATATTAGTTAATATTAGCTGTTTCAGTAGCTGTTAGCTGTTTTAGTTGGTTTTAATTATTTTAGTAGTTGTTAGCTATTAAATATTAGTTGTTAGCTATTTATATAGCTTTTTAAAGCAAAAATGTTCGGTAAAAATAATTGTTGATTAGTTGTTGCATTTAAAATGATAAAAAATGACATTTGAATGTTGAATTAGAATTTTAACTTATGACTATAGAAGTAATCTCATTAATATATAAAAGAATCTCATTAATATATATATATATATCTATATATATATATATAATTTATGATATATAATTTATGTAATGTGCTATTATTTTTTTGTAAAGAGAATGTCAATCTATAGTGTGTAGTCCAACTATATAAATTAAAATCATTATCATTTCTAAAATGAAAATACAATTTCCTCACATGTCCCTCTACTAATATATTATTAAATTGTTTTATTTAAATTTTTGTGTAAAATAATGTTATGTTTTAATATCATTGCAGACTTGCAGTACCATAGCAACTATTGGAAAGAAAGATTTTAAACTGATGTTAATATAGATTAATTAAGGGCAGAACTATCAAAAAAATTTCAATCAAAAAATGCAAACGGTAAATGTTAGGTGGAATAATTTTTTAATAAACTTTGTCTTATCCATTAAAAGCGATTTTATATACTAACTTACCAAACGATATAATCTACAAAAATAGTATTTTGACGTAGTCAAAACTCTAAACGCTTTTTCAAACGATGTTGCCGAATAGAGACTGAGGATGACGATTTTTATTTTTCACGAATGAAAATATTAGACAGGCTTGGTTCATTTTCACTTATTAAATCGGCTTTCCTTTTGAGAGCCGTTTACTGATCCTTAGCAAAGCGACCCCTTTTGGAAAGTGGATTTTGTAAAATAGCTCTTACTTTGGTAAGAGATTTTATTTGGAGTCGCCATCCTCTTTAGGAAAAATATCGTGAATTAATTATTTCTTTGAAATTAATTAACTCGGTGTTAACCAGAGACTAGATAAGAGAGTTAGATACGGTACCAGGAAGGTATTAGGCACTCGGACCGCCAGTTAGAAAATAGCCTCCTTCGTTGTCCATTTATTTACAGTATTGATAATATCATTAACTCTAATTAAGGTGTAAAACACTTTTGTGTGATTTTTTAAAATGTGGCAAACAAGAATTTCAATCACTCAAACATAATGTGTCAAACAAATAAAGAAAGGGAGGGAGGAGAAAAGATTACGATCTATCACCTAATTATACAATCTACCCTTAATCCCCAATTATACAATCTACCCTTAATCCCCATATAATTTTTCAAAATCCAATAATTATTACAAATAAGCAATCTGGTAGTACCCATTAAGGTTCTTTACATAATGCCAAATAATAAGAAAGCAATAAATGCTAAAAGAAACAAACATAAGTAAATATCCATATTCACAGAATACTAATAACAACAACATTCAATCACAACTTTCTATATGATGAAAATGTAAATGTTAGAATGATTAACACTAGAGTTAGGTGAGTTACCATAATAATAGTTAAAGAACATAAATGTAAAATGCATAAAAATGTAAAGAACATGAATTTAAAGAACATAAAAGTAGAGACAACATATTAAAAGCATTTATTTAAATATCACACCAAGATTTAGGTTCAAACTTCGAAGTTCATCATGGGTGATGTACAAATTTGCTTATCACCACCTATTTTTTATTGTTTATTTATTATTTGGGTCATAATGAGTCATTTACACGATACAAAGTAAGATTGCTTAGTGCTTAACTCAAAAAGGACCTCCAATCGAACAATTTTATTCATTTTCATTTTCTGAGTTTCTGAAATGAAGGTCCGTGCGCCACTTCTAGTGAGGACCTCCAATCGAACAATTTTATTCATTTTCATTTTCTGAGTTTCTGAAATGAAGGTCCGTGCGCCACTTCTAGTGGCGTGCGCCACACGTAGTGGCCTGCAAACATGTCCCTGATCAGAAATCTCAGAATGAGATTACAAAGTTGTCTAACTTGAGCCAAAGTGGCATGCACCACATGTAGTGGTGTGGTGCCACTGCTCAGTGGCGTTCGCCACTTTTGACATAGTTAGAAGCTTTTAGTTGATCTCAGATTTCTCTCACAACTACTGCAAAGGAGGGGCGAAAAAAGATGAAGAAAAGGTTAGGACTCTTGCGAGTCCTTATTTTGAAGAAAATCCAAAAATTTTGGAAAAAATGAATCATTATTTGAAGCATTTTTTAAATTTTTTTAACAATTTATTTAATTTAACATTTAGACAAAATAAAATAAAAATTTATTTGATTATTTTGTATTTATTTGTAAAGTTAATTAATTTTATTCTTATACGAGGATGAACATTCTAAAAGTTATTTAAAACAAAATTTATTAATATTTTTTAAATTCACATTAATTTTTTAGAAAGAAAGACGTAAGTAACCTTAGAATTGATTTTTTTTTTCCCAAAAAAAATATATACATATCGCTAAAAACTGTGATCGAAACCGTCGATTCATCAAAATGGTGCTGAAATGGACAGAAACTAAAATCGGAGTGAAACTAACAGTTTAAAAGTCAATTTAGATTCAATATTTTAAAAATTTTCAATTGCTGGTCCCGATTCGCGAACTGCCTGTTCATTGTCTACTCTAAGGGTCTGTTCAGAAAATTTAGCTATTCTAGTAGCTGTTAAGTGTTTTAATAGCTGTCAATTGTTTTACTAGTGGTTAGCTGTTAAATATTAGCTGTTAGTAGTTAACGATTATATAGTTGTTTAGAATAAATGTGTTCGTACAAATAACTGTTTCATAAATAAATTATAAAACGCTATATAAAATGACAAAAAGGGGCATGAAAACGAAGAAGAAGGTAAAAACAAGTGATTTGTATAAATGTCATAAATAAATTATAAACGCTAAACGTCGATGAAGATAACATTTCATAAAATATTGTCTCATCTAAATGCTAAATAGATATTACATTACCTAACCCTATAATTAATTAAGAAAGTGTTTTAACTCTATCAAAATACTAAATATTACTTCAAACGCTACTGTCCAACAGGAACTAAATTGCACAAGAGTTGTAGATAGTATAAATCTGTATATAACCAAATGATGTTATCTTGAAGATAAGGCGGTTGTTATAATGTCACATATTAATATAGAGACATCTATTGTAAGTTAGCATAATAAGTTAGCAGAAAGTACAAGAGACCAACGTTATGTTTACATTTGGCCAACCAAATAAAAACAATGATTACAAACATCCACAAACAGCAAACACTAATCTATAACATTTATATAAATATGAAAATAAAAAGAATATTAGATTTGTTAGAATTATCGTATTCAAAATATTAAAAATTATCGTTAGTCATGGGTAATTGAAAAATGTTAATAAAATAATAAATAATTGAAGTTTCTTATGTTTTATATTTTTTTTCTATCATTGAATTTATTTTTAAAAAATTAATTTTTTGAATAGATAGTTAAAAAATTTTTAAATTTTTTTTAAAAAATTCTTTTTCAGAAAAATTCAACTTTTTTGAATAAGATAGTTTAAAAAATTTTTAAATTTTTTTGTAAAAAATTCCTTTTTTTCAATATATATATATATAATATATATATATATATATATATATATATGCGTATAATTTGGCTGAGTACTATCATTTAATACTGTGAACTTTAACAAAAAAATTTTTGATTTGACTCTGAACTTCATTTTTTATATATATGCGTATAATTGGCTGAGTACATCATTTAATACGTGAACTTTAACAAAAAAATTTTATTGACTCTGAACTTCATTTTTTGTATAATTTCACACCTTTTTATACCAAAAATAGTAAATTTTAAAAGTTTTTTACTTTTATACGCAAAATATTGATTTGATACGTGGTTAATATAACTTTTGGAATAATAATTTTATATTTTCTAATTTTTCAATTAGTGTTTAATAGATCTAATTTTATAAGTTGAGATGATTAATGAGTCAAATAAAATATTTAATAGGTATAATTTTATAAATTGAGGTATTCAATAGATCTAAACAAAAGTTGAAGGTGCCACAAGGATAAATTTATATATTCAGCCATTTACAATTAGATATTCAACTACTGTTGTCGAAAGGACTTAAATTCAAGACTTTTACTTTTCATATAAGTGAGAAAACCAACCAAACCATCGTCTCACTGGCAGTTAATTAATTATTGTGTTGCTTATAATATATTTATCATTTTTCAACCTTCTTTTATTATATTTAACGGAGTATATTTTGTGTAACCTTTACATAATGATATAATTAAGTTAAAATTTATTATAACATTAATTTTACATAATTTAACAGTACAATAACTAAATATAGAAAAAAAAAAGGAAAGTGCAAGCTCTAAAGAATTAATTAAAGTAAGAAATGAACTTATTTTATGAGATTTAAAATATCTTATATATTGATAAAAGTAATATTGAAATAAGAATAGGATAACCACCACTTGAAATACCATTAAAGAAAGAGTTTTGACAAGTCTATACCTATAAATTGACTTATTAGAATTTTCAAAATTTTTTTTAATTTTTGAATTTCTTTCTTTTTTTTTTTAATTTCGATTGAATAACGTAATATATTATTTTAATTTTAAAAATTAAGGTTATAATAATGACTTTTAAAATTTAATAATATTAATTATATATCATTATAAATATTATATTAATAAATAGAGATAAATAAGTATAATCTTACTCTGTTTTGATTGCATTAGGCATTTATCTTATTCTCACCATAAACGAGCTATGCTCACTCTCTTGTTTGGACAGAAAAATATATTTTTCTTCTTAACGAATTGAGCTATTTTCCTAGATAAAAAGAGAAAAAGTCTAATTTGCAGAATTTACTCCTAAAAATATGACAAACTATGGAATAAAGGATCGAAATTTACTGAATTGAAAGAATTAAAGAATCGAAGTTACACTGAGGATATCGGCATATCTACAGTTAGGAACTAAAAAACAAGATTCTATTTACACTTTGTTGCTTCCTGTTCTTGCTGTTGTTGCTTTTCAGAATCTATTTGCCGGCGAACTAATTCCTCCAAAGCTTCTCTCATCCACCACGTTTGGCATACTTCTCTAGCTTCCGTCACAGTTACCTGCAAAATTTTACATTGCAAAATTAGATCTAACTTTCCTTTTATTGAATTTCAATCAATCAATAGAAATGGTGACCCAGTGCACGAAATCTCCCACATGTACACAGCCTGCTTTAGCAGAGACTGTTTCCCAGTTGAAACCATTGCACAAAAGCCACCCTCTATGGACCCAAATGATAAATTTTCACATACCCATCTTCTCTTTCGGATGTCTTTTTCTGGCCAGAGATCTAATTGCTTTTGAACAAGCATAGGAAACATGTAGCCTTCATGGAGTATTCCACCCCTTTTGCTCTTATATTGCCATTTCCCTAATTCACACTGTAAAACCAACACAAGAGTTAGAATAATTTAAAAAAAAAAAAAAAAATCAAAACAGGCAATAATCCAATAGAAGAATGAATTTAAAACATTAAGTAAACAAACACTTACTTCAACATTGCCAATTACTCCTGCTTCCTCTAGGGTTTCTCTCACTGCTGCTTCTTCCATGGATTCATCTTGCTCCCATCCTCCCTGCAATGGATCTTTTTAAGTTAATAAAAATTTTCAATTAAGGAATAAAAATATAAATTAATACTAGCTTTTATATGGCATTCAATGGTGGAGTAATTATACCTTAGGAAACAACATTCCTTTACCCCTTTGAGCACTTATTACAAGAACTTCTATATTCTCAGCAGTTTTATCCATGGAAGATGGATCATCACTTTTCTTATATCTGTATGGAATACACCTGCAGAATTTTAGAGACAAAAAGATTAATTTGGAATTTAAAAATCACTAAAAACAAAATCACCCCATCATCAAAAACCTACAAGATAACTATTTCTCAACCTTTTTTTCCTCCAAAAAAAAATATTAGTTCTAAAACAAATTCCAAAACCATTGGAAAATAGATCAAGAAAAAACTAAGTAAGACAGCAAAAATTGTCAAATTAGAGAGAAACCCAATTCAAAAAAGAAAAAAATGTCTCCCGATTTGACTAATTTTCCAACAGTTTAATAACAAAAATCAAAAAAAGATGAGAGACCCAGAAACAAAAACATCAAAAAAACAAAAAGGAACTCACCCTACAACTTGGCGACATCCTCTATCATAACGTTGGAGATGGCGACCAGTACGAGAAACCAAAGAAACCATTTTCTCAAATTGCTTCGCAGGAAGCAATTTTGCAGGAAGTTTATCAAGTAAAGGAAGAAGAAAAGAAATTAGATTTGCAAAGTTTCTAAGAAAGAAAGAAAGCCCTCTCATGGTGGGTTCGATTTTGATTGCTTCTTCCAAAACCAAATTTGGTTCAACTTAGCTAAAAATAAGTGATTTTTCTTTTTATATTTATTGAGAAATTGGGATTCTGCAAGAGAAGATAAATAATGGAGATCCTTTCGTTTGATATGCAACCAGAGTCTCTGTTTGATTCCCTATTAATAGAGAATAGAAAAAAAAGATGCTTCGTGGACATATTCTCAGACACGGAGAGAAAGGAAGACGCACACGTGCTAATAGATGCACACGTGCAAGTGATGGTGTTGAACTTTTATATATTTGTGTTAATGTTATCCTTTTAGTTTTATGTCAAACCGCAACTGTGATAGTGAAACTCGGAAATGAAACATGATCGTGTGTTTTGGCTTTTGACAAATTTATTGTGTTGTCATCCAGCAATTGAGTTGAAATTGTATAAATTGATGTATACCGTTAGATCTTTTTACTATCATATTGAGAAATTAAAAAAAATATTGAAATATTATTATTTCAGTAATATCCTGCCTCCATCTACTTTTACCCGTAGTTTAAGATTTTATATATTTATTTATATCTATAATATCTTATCATCTATTATAATAATAATAATAATAATATAAGTGAAAATGGGAGGAGAATATTGAGATTGCCAAAAATGCTCATATTAAGTTTATAGATCCAAAAAAATATCATTGAAGATTTTAATTTGGTTGATTAAAAAAATAAATATAATTTAATTTTAATCGGTCATTATTAATTTTTCATTTAAATTTAAATTTTATCAAATATAAGAAATTTTATTATATTATATATATAAACTAAATAAGGTATATGTTAAATTTTATCCACAATTATAAGAAATTTTATTATTATTATATATATAAACTAAAAAGGTATAATATTAAATATATGTAAGAATATAAATATAGTAAGAATATAATATTTTAAAGAAATTAAATTTTATTGGTAGAAAAAATAAAAGTAATTTAATTTTAATTGGTTATATTTATCTCCTATAAAGCAACTTATTCTACGAAAAATAAATATAATTTATTATTTTTGTTAAGTAATATATCATAATATTTATTATTTACAAAATATAAAATAAAGCTCACTAGAAATATATATATATATAATTATGGTTTAACAGTTATATTAGTAAAGCATATAATACATTGGAAAAAAAAAAAATCTCAAATGCAGAAACAACCATAAAATTAACTAGTGTTAAAACCCACGTGATGCACAGAGTAATATTAAAAGATGAAATAATCTTTTATAACATCATTCAAAAATAACAAAATTGTGTAATGAAATTATCGTGATATGTATTATAAAATTATATCTCATTGAGATATGTGGAAAAAGTTGCAACAGTAAAATATGTCTTCTTAAATATCTTGTGAAACTTTTCGCCAAGGTATGCGATAACAAAAGTTATTCATTGTATGACCTGTGTAAAAAAATACACACACATTATTAATATGTTTTTCAATAGTGATAATAATTTTGAGAATCTAACTAATTATATTGAAATAAAATTATATCTCATTGAGATATGTGGAAAAAGTTGCAACAGTAAGATATGTCTTCTTAAATATCTTGTGAAGCATTTCACCAAAGTATGCGATAACAAAAGTTATTCATTGTATGACCTGTGTAAAAAAATACACACACATTATTAATATATTTTTCAATAGTGATAATAATTTTGAGAATCTAACTAATTATATTGAAATAAGAAATTAAGTATTTTTTATTTATGTTTATTATTTATTATAATATTTCTATATATGGAATAATAATTTGTATGGAAATCTAAACTATATTAATTGAAAATAAGAAAATTAAGTATTTTTATTTGTGTTAATGTATTATATAAATGATTTGTTTATTATTTATTATAAATGATTGTTTATTTATTTGAAATATTAATACATTATACTTATTTAGTGTAGTGTGTCCTAAGTATGTGGATGTCTTACTTTCTAAAAAAATTATCGTATCTCATACGTTCTAACATCTTGTGTCTTATATCCTTGTAACCTAACTCCTGGTATATGAGACTCCCATACATCAAGCTAATCAACTAAGATTTTTTTAAAAAAAAAAATTATTTTTGTGTATTTTTTTTTTAAAAAGAAATCAGTCCAACAACTAATTTCGAATTTGGAATTCTAATATCTGTCATTCTATAATCCCATACACCAAACTAATCAACCAAAATTTTTTTTATTACCAAGAAAAAATGAAGTTTTTTTTTAATTTGTTTTTGTGTATTTTTTTTTAAAAAAAAAGAATCAGTCCAACAACTTAATTTAGAATTCTAATTGTCATTCTATAATCCGGTGCACCAAACTATTCAACCAAGATTTTCTTTGTTACCAAGAAAAAATGAAGTATTTTTTTGAAAGTTTGTTTTTGTGTATTTTTTTTAAATAAGTCAAACAACTTAATTTAGAATTCTTACATTTGTTATTCTATAATCCAAAATAAAGTCAAGTGACAAATTGTGCTACTTACACTTGGCTTCCATGGAAGACAAACTAATCTTCTTTTATATATTAAATAGATTATATGCTCATAGACTTCAGCCAAAAAAAAAAAAAAAAAAAAAAAAAAAAAAACTAAAATTATTTTATGAAAGTAATGGGCTCTGATTACAAAAAAAAAAAAAAAAAAAAAAAAAAAAAACTAAAATTATTTTATGAAAAGTAATGGGCTCTGATACAACTTGCTATCGAAAATTCTATAACTCCATGATTAAATAATCGTACGATAAATTCAATAAGATAAAATAAATAAATACTACTGAGAAAATAACAGGATACATGAGATTTTAACGTGGTTCGATAAATTGTTTATATTCACGGATAATACTAAATCTTTCGCTATGTGAGAATAAAATAATAAATACAAATATCATAATTTGTTTTCCCTTGAGTTATGCCCACTCAAAAATCCCACAATATTTGTATATCCCTCACATAAACCCTAAATAATTGCTATCAAACCAAGAGTAAATCTGCTCTCAAATCTAATGATTAAACTAACCACACTGAAGCAATTCTGAGAGTAAACTCACTCTCAAACCCAATGTTTAAGCCAACCCCACTGAAAAAAACATCCTCTAGAATGCTAGAGTAAAATAGTCAAGACCCAGTGTTTAAACCGGCCCCACTAAAGCAATCCCCTCTAACACCCTATAGTAACGTGCTCGCAATTAATTGTACCCAATTAATTGCACCGAGAGTATATGCCCTACTCTCTCATAAATCCTTTTCTCTCCTCCCTTATCTTACTAAGGATTAGCCATATTTCTAGACTACTAAAACAAATCCAAAAATAATAAAAAACTTTGCCAACCTCAAGGCCCTTGGCACCCAAGCAAAGTAATCAAAACTTTGCCTTGAAGAAATGGCCAAAATATTGAAGGCATTTATAACAATCTCCACTTTGAGTTGAAGTTTTTTTTTTTTTCATATCAAAGAACTTCATATTGGATATTCGTCTCCATACAATGCCAAACTACACTCGGCATCGTGTTCCTCCACCTTTTTCTTTTCCTTTGGGCACTCTCTTTTAACATGTCCAAACTCTTTGCATCGGTAGCATTGAGTCTCGCCTTTGACTCTAGATCTACTCTTTCCATGTTGAGATCTAGTCCCATCAAATGGTCGTCCTTGCTGACTTGTGCCATGAATAATAAATGCCTAGCCATCTCCTTGGACTATACTCTATTTCTTTCTTCGGGTTTCACAAGACACCAAAGCTTCTTGTGCTTGATCCATTGTTAAAGTGTCCTTTCCACCCATCCATGAATCTATGAAGTTCTCAAACGAGTCAGGAAGTAAGGTAAGAAGTAACATCACCTTATCTTCTTCCTCAATCTTTATATCAACTTTTGCCAATTGACTTAATAGACCATTGAACTCATTCAAATGCTCCACTAGATTATCACCCTCTGCCATCCTCATCCGGTATAACTCTTGCTTTAGATGCAACTTGTTAAACAAGCTTTCTGTAATATAAAACTTTTCCAATTTCTCCCAGGTACATGGCAGAATCTTCATCCATAACATTATTCACAATGTTGTCAGAGATGCACAATCGTATTGTGCTTACACATCTTTCCTCAAGCTCCTCCCATTTTGCATTTATCATTTTCTAGTCTTTCCTATCTCCTTACCCTTCAACACTTTTGCTAGACCTTGTTGAATAAGTAGATCTTTTTACTCTTCTTTGCCAAAGACTGAAACTAATTTTCCCATCAAACTTTTCCACGGAGAAAAGTGATGAATTGCTGTGCCATATTATTGAATTTTAATGTCTCCACCAAGTTGCAAATTCCCGTTGCCCCACTGAACCAATGGCTCTGATTACCACTTGTTATGAAAAGTAGCCGGCTCTGATACAACTTACTATTGGAAAATCTGTAACCCCACGATTAAATAATTGTACAATAAATTCAATAAGACAAAATAAATAAATACTGCTGAGAAAATAGTAGGAGACACGGGATTTTAATGTGGTTCAATAAATTGTCTACATCCACGGATAACTAAATCTTTCATTATGTGAGAATAAAATAATACCTACAAATATCGTAATTTTTTTCTTAAGTTATGCCCATTAAAAAATCCCACAATGTTTGTATACCCCTCACATAAACCCTAAAGAATTTCTGTCAAAAGCAAGAGTATATCTGCTCTCAAATCAAGTGTTTAAGCCAACCCTACTGAAGCAATATCGAGAGTAAACTCACTTTCAAACCCAGTGTTTAAACCAACCCCACTGAAACAAACACCCTTTAGAATGCTAGAGTAAAATAGTTGAGACCTAGTGTTTAAGCCAACCCCACTAAAGCAATTTCCTCTAACACCCTAGAGCAAAATACTCGCAATTATTTTACCCAATTAATTGCACCGAGAGTATATGCTCTACTCTCCCATAAATCCTTTTCTCTCCACTCTTATCTTTCTAAGGATTAGCCATATTTATAGACTACTAAAACAAACTAAAAAATAATAAAAAATTTTGCCGACCTCAAGGCCCTTAGCACCCAAGCAAAGTAATCAAAACATTGCCTTGAAGAAATGGCCAAAAAATTCAAGGCATTTATAACAAATTATACTCTTTCCTTTCTCTTTATTTAGAGAAAATTTCCTTTCTGGGTGTATTTTTATAGAGAATTTTACTCTAAATAGTAACTTTAAGATGCAAGCCAAGTTAAAAAGACTGGAATGCCTTTGGAGTGTATGTGTTTGTTTTAAGATTGAAGCTCATCAATTAAGAAAAGTGGCAGACAC